CTCAGAAACATTATCTATAATAATCACACTATTAATTACACTCCGTAACCTATTATTATTATGTATCATATTATTATTGCAGTATTGTTAAAATTGCTTCAATTCATTTGTAAGGGATTTCATCGGGATTGCCAAATGCAAAGTTCATTTTATGAATCAACGAGTCAATTCTGCGGTCTATAAAATAATGGCGATCCAACAGGATTGCAAGCGATTTTAATGTTTCAAAATTAATTTTTAATTTTAATAAAAACGTGACGTTTAATTTCTTCTTCAAATTACAGACTCGGCGTTCCGTTTGCTCAAGTAAAACCACACGACGCCCATTCTTTTCGCGTTTCAAGTCTAGCGAGCGAAGCAATCTTGCTTTCCAGGCCTAAGTCAACGTCCTCTCTTTTCACACGACTGTGGAGGAATCGTTTCGTGGATCTTTGGTCGAAATAAACCGACACGTACATAGAGAAGTTACTACATCCTTGATGCGCGAAAACGGAAAGCGAGAGGCGCAACCTGTGTTTTTTGACGATGAAAAACTCGAGACAGAGGGGCGATGTGTGCAATATTTATCAAGACGTTCTGAATAGCCTCGAATATCTAAGAGATGATATATCTAACGTGGTTGCGATTTTTCTTGCTTTCATCGAAACGAGGAGACGAGTTACCATGATTTTCTGCTTGGGAACCGCTGGAAACTTTCGTTCGATGGGCTTTCCCTATCCTATACAAATCTTTCGACACACTTTCTCCAAAAACCAGTCAATTTGTATCGCGAAAATGTCGCGTTAATTTCAGTCAATCCGAGATTAACAAGCTCTCTTTCAATCCAAATCGATCAGGTACGAATAAGTTTAATTTCTATCGATAGATTATATTTTGTTGAGAGGTCATCATTGGATATGTGTAAAATATTTATCAACTAGAATTTTAAAGAACAAAAAATCAGAAAATTATGGTAAAAAGTTTTTATGAAGTGACATTTGTGTTACTATAAAGTATCGCAATGCAGAGATAGGTGTCCTGCGAAAACTATGGAATTAAAAATCTAACCTGCAGCAAAGATGTTAATCCACAATACACTCTTGAACAAACAGATTTTTCCTTTATATTCAATATCAATTAAAAATTTCCTTAACTGTGGAATACTGTAATGAAATATAATGGAAGTATTTCTTATTTCTAATTGTATATTAGCTCCTTATTATAATGAAATTATATTGCCCTATGACTTAAATTAATAATTATTATTGTGCAATAAATAATTAATATCGAGCATTAAAGAATCATTATCTCAAAAATAAAGCTTCTAAAATCTGTAAAATTCGACACTATCTATAATTTAAACTCATAAAAGTTTTCGCCAACATAGATAAATAATATCCCGTTTATTCCGCTACTCATCACTAGCATCGCGTTCAGATATTTCTGAGCACGTAAAACTGATAATAAATATGGTTCATATCGGTTACCGGCTACAATATCGTTTTCTTTACATTGATTAACGCGAGAATTGGTCAGTCGTCGAACAAACGATACGATAAATAAAAATCCGGGAAGAGGTTGAGATTGTACAATGATAAATAGGCAATATCAAACGGTCACAATAACAACATAGATACATACGTGTATCATTACGAATAGCACCGAATACCCACATTACAAAAAAAAATTCAAATTGCTTCGAAGACTCTTGAAAGTTTCGATTAATCTCGAGTCTTGAAAGACTTGAAGGGATATATCTGTACTTATGTACTTATGCATCTAGAATAGGAAAAAGTGCTTGTAAATAAAATATTGAATACCTAAGGCTTTCAATACTCGAGATTAACCCTCATGTAATTCAAACTATTTTTCTGGATGTGAAAAAAAATTTACGTAAATAAACGATGAAGCCAGTAAATATCAATCTTTAGATACAAAGTAACAGTGAATTTATAATTTTCAAAGTTCTACAAATCTTTGTAAATTGCATGTAAAATTGACAATCTTCTTGCTTACGAAGGATACATTAATACATAACTTCCAACGTTACGTGTGTTGAAAGTTTGATTAGTTGAATACCTTTAGAAGCATTTTTTAAGATTCAAGACTAGCCAAAACTTTCAAGAGTTTCAAGATAGATACGCATCGAAGATTCTCGCAGTACCGTGTATTGGAAAACTTCGAATCGTTGCCGAAAAAACCGTTTCGAGTATGCATCACTAGATAAGTAGAAATACACAGTAGGTATATGCGTATACCTGCAAGGCGTAGGTATTTCGGTTGCCGGATTTAAGTAGGTACACGAGGTCCTAGCAAAGCGAGAGGAGCCTACCGGCGGCCATTGTCCCCGATCGAGTTCGATCGGAGATAGCCAGGTATGTGACTCGAGGGGGAAAAAGGAAACGACCGTCCAGCTGGAACTCGGGCGAAATCGTGCAAGGCGATTCACAGCAAAGAATAAAGAAGAAAACTAAGTACACCTGTTGCCGCGTCGGATGCTCCACCGATTTCTTAAATCTGCCACGAGAAAATTCGATCTCTGGTAAGATCGACTTGGATCTTGGACGTTTGCCCGCGTATTGGGACGATTTATTAGACGAATAATGTAAAATACGTGAGTATACACGAGTACGTGACAGGGATTTTCTTTGGTTTTTCTTTCAGATGATTTCTTACTAAACTCCGGATATTTATTAAAGGCACGTGACATACTTGAGATTATTCGATGAGTTAAATCTTCGACTGGCTTTCATTCATCTACTTATGAATCTGTGTGAACAATTGAAATGTTTCCGAACGTTTGAAAAAGACAGATTATTGAAATAATATCATTGCATATTAGGATATTGGTAAAAAAAGTAGACATTACATAAAAACCTATAAATATCTATGATCAAAGTTTCATGAAGTCAATGATAAAAAGAATGTCAATATAAGGTAGTACAACTCTTCGTTATTCAAATTTTTATTATTCCAACATTCCAAACATTAACCTAACTACCTACTATATACCAGAATGTTTGCTAGTAAATGAAAAATCATCTACCAGCAGACATTCTATTCTGGTAATAACGTTCGGATGTTAAGAAATATATCTACCTACTCGAAAAATAACGTTTATTGAAGCTATTGTATAAACACTATTGTATCATACCATTTATTGTGTCGACAATTTCAAATAAAAAATACATTTATCTCGCTCCTATTAGACTTACACTAATTCAATTTTAATAATATAATTGTACAAAATTCTGACAATACCCATATTGTAGGTTATTTATTATATTCTATAATATCGTAAGAATGTTAACGACTACGTATAAATTATCAACAACTGACTATAAAAATTCTAGACAGTTTTTCAGAAGCACGCAAGTACATTTACAAATTACACGATACCGAACGTCTTCCGTTTATCTGCTCGGGCGCATTTACCTACACGTATACCGTTAGATCGTGCCGAAACCATCGGCGAATACTTTCAAATTTGTATATCGTGTACACGTTTGCAAAGTGCCAAGAGTCCTGTTAATACATAATAAATTGAAGAATGAAGTTGAAGCGGTGAGAATAATTTAGCGGTATCGTAATATGGGAAAGCTAATGAGAGACAGCCGAGTCTATGGCGCCAGATAATCTCGATGGCAAAGCTGGAGGTAATGGACGACCTTTCGAGGGCGCGACGCTCCGCCCCCACCGGATAATTCGAGAAACAATGGCAGCCGGAGACATGCAGAGGCACAGCAGAGCGGTGCCAGTGCAACGCGTACCAGGATTGACAGCGATGAGGAAACTTTCGTGAAAGTTGAATGATATGTCGAACGTTTCCGGTGTCGCGACTTCTGCGAAACGATTAATTGAAGGTAGACGACGGTCGATTGAAAAATCTATCGTTCGACCAAAGGAGAAACGACGGAGGGAAATAGTGGTCGAGCGAGGAAAGTCCAACGATCGCCTGTCAAAGAATTATATATCTGTCAGGAATTGCTACGGCATATGTGAATCATTATGCGTGACCGGGATGAAGATTCGTTCGAACAATTAGAAATAACTATATGACCATATTACACAGGAAACATCACACAGATCTGTGAATCATTTTTAATAGTTACGGTTGAACTCTATTTATTATCGAAATGAAGTTATATAGCCCCGTTGGTTGGTAAACAATTCACATAATAGGAATCTATTAATTCTCCCTGCTATCTCTCATCTTCGCGCAAATAGATAATAACTTTGATAAGTGGACTGAACTGGCAGGAAGCATCAGTTGAAATTCCATATCGATAAATGGAGTTCCATTGTATCGACAAAGTGCTTGAAATTCTGCCATCGTGGAGATCAATGATTTCATTTTATTTTATTTTCGTTCTCCCTTTTTTGAATCGTTGAATCATCATTGCAGAAACCTTACCTTATTTTCTTGAATATCGATGAGCACGTAAACCAGCAGCGTGATCTCCTCCTCATCGGAGCCAAGAGCATTACCCTGGAGACCGGCTGTCGCCACATAAAGAGCAACCAGGTGAGTCGGCCCCATTGTAGTCCCCATGGTCTGCATCGTGTCACGGTTTATCTTTCGTTTCTGTCGTCGCGTTCCGTTCCGGGCACTGCTCACTTTCCGATCAACGTACACCTGAACCCTATTATCGAAGTAGTACACTTCACCGTGCGGACACGGATCATGCGACACGCAGCCGTGTCCTAAACGAGGCTCGAAAATCAACTCCAGGCTTAATGCTCGTGCGTTATTCTGCGGTTGTCTACTCAGAGCAAAACTTCCACGTTCCACTTTAAAGCTCGATCACGTTCTTCAACACTCAGGCTGCTGTTGGTATCCTTCTCCAAACATGTTGCCTTTATTTATTTGAGGTTAAGGATCGCAATCGGTTGACCGATGAATGAATATCGCGGCACGTTCGCTCGCAGGTATCGTAGATATAGATAATTCGATACGTGTACAGTTGCCCTCGAAGGCAGCCGCGCGAGTTCGAAAAAAAAAAATCTATCTCCGCGGCTCTCTCTCTATCACCGTCGACGAACCGCCGCGCGTCGCGAGTGGCAAGGTTTCGTGCAACACTGGCCAACCCCAACCGTTGCGCACACACGTCGTCGTTGCCTCACCTGGCGACTGCGCATCGAACCCGTCGCCGCTCGTTGCCTAGCAGGAGAGACCCTCTTGCTCGTTCCCGTGCTTCATTTCCCGCACCAAGTACGCGCGACAAGGACGCGCAATCCGGTTCGCCGAACCGACTGCACACGACAAGGACCGAGCGAGTTACGTTAAAAAAAACGCGGAAACTACCAAGTAACGATGATAACACAACATTTAAATTCGAGAAACTTCTTTTCATGTATATGTATATGGATGTGTTTATGACGATTTTTGTACACGATATATAGGAGGAATAGATCGACGAACCGTTTTTGCACGTTGCCACCGTGGCCAGGTTAAAAGAGACGAAGGGAAAGGCAGGTCAAAGCAGCGACGCACTGGCCAGGTGCGCAGACATTCCACTCGCCTTGCGGTACGCTTCCCCCGCTTTCCCCTCTCCCCACCAGGCCGCGATTATTTTCCACCTGGAGCGCCACGTTTTACTTCTTCATGGCGGACCGAACGATACGTAATATATAACGATAGATCGATACATCGAACGATCCGAAACGATATAGTATGTATCCGTGTGTATGAATGAATTCTTTCTACTGGCGAAGGTAAACATGCCGAGTGTATATTCTGCCGATATTCCTCCCGTCCGATCAGGAAACCATGTGGATTGGCAAGAGGCGTGCGAGAAGGAGAAACAAAAATGGCGGCTACCTGAGGCGCGCTCCCGAATTATACGGAGACTCTATAACTGATCACAGGTAAGTTACTTACATGTAACCTCGATTCCAGCTGCTCCCTCCATAACGTGATCACGGCCTTGATAAGACGTGCGTGTACACAGCACGTCTTACTTCACTTGTCTGCGCCTCTCTTTCTATCTCCCACTTCTCCGATTTTTGAAAATGTAACCCGCGAATGTGTTACACACTTTGAAAAATCATAGAAACACACGCTCTATACGAATCTGTTTGCAGAACAATGAAATCAATTTCTTAATGTGAATACGCGTGTGTGTGTATATAATCGCGTTGCATTTGACCATGGAAACGAATGTATAAATCAGAAATTGTATTCCTTTCTTACCTTGTTATCTATCTGTAAATACTTTTCATCGAGATCATTGTACATGTTCGTCGAATATATTTATTTAAAAATAATAAATCGTTCGAGAATAATTATGAGTTCTTCCTTTGTCGATTTCTGTGCAGATTTCCGCATTACGTGCTTCTTTCATATAAAAAAAAAAAAAAATTCATATACACACCTTTTACGATAGTAGAAATAACGAATAATTGAGTATTAAATTATGAATTATTTTTTTCTCTAGAATGTTGCTTTACCTGTCACGTGTGAAATATTTAAACGATTGAAAAATCCTTCCTTGTGTCGATCTAGAAACAAGTTAATCCGCATCGAATCAAAGGTCACGTGTAACAAATTTCTAAAAATAAAAATTCCATAAGGCTACGTGCTGTTCCATATAAAAAAATGCGTACATAGTATACGTATGTCGCAGTGAGTAGATGAATGCATAAGATTCACGTTAAATCGTCCTAGGAAAAAGAATGAGGGAAATTCTAACGAGCAACAGGTTGGCACGATCGACGTGTGAGGCGGGGAGAATGAGAAAAGCTATGTATAGACAGAGAAGCAGAAAACGGGAAAGCAATCATCGTTGGATTTGGTAGGAATATCCGTAGAAGCGAAATGCTTAGCGCTATGTAACGACGGTGTCGTGACAGGGAGACCGGATTGGTCGGTCACCTGTTGCCTGCCAGCTGTGATTGGTCGGACTCGACAGCGCGTAATGACGCGATGATCAGAGGAGGACAAGTGCATTGTCGACTGGTCTATGATGTACCAAGATCGAATGCGTAAGATACATTTGTTATTTATATCCATACGAAGTATTCCATATTCTGTCTAACGCGATTTACAATTTTTCAAATTCATGGTGGTTCATGGTCACGTAACAAAAACGATTTTAAAACGAAACTTATCGATCCCGGGTGTATAACTGACCATAATAAAAATATCGAATATAGCTACTTTTTTATAGCGAAACCAAGGTCATCTTAGTTTCTTTAAAAAAAGAGTCATGAATTCTTTTTCTTTCATTTATTGCAAAGGATGTTGAAACAAACAACTGAAACATGCACCACGTTAGACAGAACATCATGTGTGTACAATATTGTACACACATGCTGTACATTTTACATTTTATCTATGAAAAAGTCAATTATTAAAATCGGTTTTCCATTTACAGAAATTCGTCAAACGTTTATGCACTGGAACAGTTATTGTTTCAATGTTGATTTACGATGATTTTCAGCTGTATTCTACAATATAAATATTTATCACCATTATTTTCGAATTATATAGAAAAGATACACACACACACACACACACACACACACACACA